GGGCCGAGGGAGAGGGTGAAGCAGGCTCCTGCTGAGCAGGGAGCCTGAGTGGGGCTCGATCCCAGGACCCGAGGATCATGACCTGAGCCGAAGGCAGATGCTTAACAGACTAACCCACTCAGATGCCCCATGACTATACTCTTTGAACTAGAAATTCCATTTATAGGAATTGTCCTAAGAGTATGTCTTTGCTACAAAGATTATCACAGCATTATTTAAAATAGCAGAAAATAGTAAACTACCTAAATGTTGAAGAGAAGAGTCAAATAAATTTGGCACTGCAATGAGTGTTAACAGTTACCATTTATAGAGTGCTTACCATGTGCCTGGCATTGGCACATTTAATACCACAGCAATCTATAAGGCAGTTGTAGAAGTGAATGTTGAGTGAGACTTTTCCAGTGGTAAACAGAACCCACAGCTAAGATCAGAGAGGAGGTAAGTTTCCCCCAAGGTAGAGAGGGCAGTCAATAACTAGGGCTGGGCTAATTCAAGAATTTATTAAGAAGCTATAGTATGAGATCTTCTAATGCAACCATCACCTGTGCCTCCGCACTGCCTCTCTCCCTCCCCACTACACAAAGGAAGAGCAGAGATGAGGAGGGGAAACCACGGATCCCACGCCCTAGTGTGTACTGCTGTATTTTGGGTGGTGGTCTCCCTACCCCTATGGAGGGTTTTCTGAGAGAATCTGTTACAGACATTAGAGGTGACAAAAAAAAAATTTTAAAAGGCTTGGGACAAGAATTTTTTAAAAAATTATAATGCCTAATAAATATCTCTTCAGGTAATTAGCTTACAGATCTGCCCTGCACCATTCTGGACAGGGAAAGGGGAAATGGAACGAGAAGGGCACCAATGCTGTTCCCCCATTGTTTGGCATGGATGTGAGTCCCCTGGGTCAAGCAGTCCCATGGAAATTGCTGGCCTTGAGCTCTCTTATTAGATACCCCAACCCCCAAGACGGCTGTCAAGTTAGCAAGTGGAGCCCAGCTGTGGGATACAAGAGAGGGAGGGATTGGCCTGAAACGGGCTGAAAGAACTTAACAGCAGTTTCCTCTCCAGGTCTAGAGACCATGCAGTGGGAAAAGCCTCCCAAGAACTCACAAGTGTGGGGCGCCTGGGTGGCTCAGTCATTAAGTGTCTGCCTTTGGCTCAGGTCATGATCCCAGGGTCCTGGGACTGAGTCCCACATCGGGCTCCCTGCTCAGCGGAAAGCCTGCTTCTCCTTCTCCCACTCCCCTGCTTGTGTTCCTGCTCTTGCTCTCTAATAAATAAATAAAATCGTAAAAAAAAAAAAAAAAAAAAAACCTCACAAGTGTAGGGAGCACACACACAGGCAGTGCTGGTCAGGCAACAGTAAATGCCATCAAGGGGGACCCAACAGTGGCCATTTAAGAGACACTTATCCCTGTCCCTCTCCCTCTTGCTGTCCCTGCACATGCCTAGAAGAGGCAGAGCAGAAGTATCCCAGACAGACTACCTGTCCCCCAACCCTACACTCTCCAAAATGAGGAACAGAGAACAAGAGTTATACAAATAAACCAAATGTACCTTCTTCCACTTCGTATCACTGGAACCACAGTCTGGTCAGTAATAGGAGGAGGAAAAGCTTTCGATTAGGTATACTGAAATTTAAAAATGGTGGCCTATCAATAACCCAGAGTGACCAGAAGGCTGTGGACTCTGCCAGGGGTATCAAGGGATCCATCCTGTAGAGAAGATTTTGACAAAGCACAGTTTGGAGTTTTGACTGGACAAAGATAAAGCATTCATGTTTACACCCCTCTGAGTTAAAATTACTCAATTAACTGGCTGAACTTACCATTATCTCCACAAATTGAGGAATCAAAGCTCTGAAATCAAGAAATGTGCTCAGGATCACAAAGCATGTCGGAGGCTCAGTTTGGCTTCTAATCCAGGACTGACCCCAGATCCCACGCCTTTTATAGTACACCTGGACTTTTTAATACAGGGCTCAAAGGCATATTCCCAGTATCTGCAAATCCATTTCAAACATTTTTCAATACTGAGTTTTCACCTTAAGGGTGATCTTAAAACACATAGTCTAGATCACCTGAATGATCATCTTATGAGTGAATGCTGCTTCTTGATTACCAGCATTTGCATTTATAATTTTATTAATATCAAGTATTAAGTTCTTTAATTTTCATACACTAATGACTAATGAGAAAAGACAGAAGTGACAGCATATAAATAATGTGGTCATACCAATTAAAAGTCAAATGGCTTGCTAAACCAAGGTTTCACGGTAGTTCAAACATAGAAATGTGGAGGGAGAGAAGAATGGGGCACAGAACAGGCTCCACAGGAGTAAGGGCCATATTCACGTTTCAAGGAGCAACTTAGTTTCAGCAAAATATATACTGTTGTTTATGTAAATTATATTGCTTCTGAAGATTTACATTTAATTTGTTAATCTGTTAATCTGTTTTGTAATTGTAGAAGAGTTCTAAGTATACATTTATATCTCACAGTGTTTGTTTATAGACATTTTGGTAACATAATAAAGATAATTTAATTCAACATCAAAAACCTGTAAAAATGTTTAAAGTATCTTTATATTACACATACTTGAGAAGCTCTGTGTTATGTTATTCTGCTTAAGCAGCCATTAAAAGCCATGTCTTAGAAGACTATTTTCTAACACAGGGAAATATTTTCAATATATTAAAGCATACAAAAGATGATACACTCTTATTCTTTGTAAAAAGGACATATAGAAAAAAAGAGACTGGCAAACACACTAAAATGTTAACATTGTTTATGCCACGGGAGCCGTATTACAGGTGCTCCTTATTCATATTGTTGCTTTTCTTAATCTTCTGTTTCCAATAACTTTATTATAAGGGTGACATTTAAGTATTACAAAAAATTAAATTTTTACTAGCTTATCCCATGGAAGTTCCCAAAACCTGTTGCTAAAAACAAAAAACAAACAAACAAAAAAAACAACTGCATTTTCAATCCAGTTCTAGCTCAAGTTCTTTGTTCTCCAAAGAAAACGTAACCAATCCTAAAGTAATATTTATTCAAAACTTAAAAACATATAAAGTACTAGCCAACCAATAACTTACTGTGCTTTAGATACCAGGGCTACAAAGGTGAACAAAGACTGGTGTACTCTAGAAGCTAAACCAACAGTCACTGTACTATGGCATAATAACACAAGAGCCAGGAGAAGGAGGTTCTAGAACTCATTCTGATGTGGAGGGCAGGATCAAAGGCAGCCATAAGGTGACACATGAAATGAGTCCTAAGAATGTATCAGGAAATCAGTGTAGAAATGTGAAACTGCAGATTACCCAGCAAATGAAATACAAACATGGGTCATGTGAAACAACTCACTGACCACGTTAGACCAACCTCTCCCGGGTGCCTACAGCACTGGTCCTTGGCATGTGTATGGCCTGCCATGAGAATTCAAGCATGTTCCCCAGCAAGATTATAAACTCGAAGGGGAATACCATGTACTTTGTAGACTCTTATTATTTGTTAATGAGTGTCCTCAGAAAGACTTCTATAGGGCATTAAACTCAACACACTATAGCCTCTGCTGATATACAAAAAATATATATATACACCTAGCCTATATCCATTTTTTCCTCTAGAAAACTCGTACCAAAAGATCAAAGCAACAGACTCATTCCTATAATCCTCACAAGGAAATCAGCCTACTATATATAAAACTTAGCACGTTCCCTTGCTTTTGCAAGCCAGCAGAGCTCCAACTAGAACATTCTTCCAAGGCAGGCAAAGGAAAGACACAGTGACAGCCTGTCCAAGAACATCTTCCAAGTGAGCGGCAGTGATACTGTATGATACTTAAATGCCATGGCTCATCAGCTGGGGTGAAATTCTCAGAAATTCTACGTATATAGCAGAAGAGGTCTGTACAGTCTATCACAGTGAACAACTGGAAGTAACATATGTGTCTAACCAAAGGACACGTGTACATAAGGTATGGTACATTCACTTACATGCTATTTTTAAGACTTATATACATGTTCAGCGTCTGCTTTAAAATACTCCAACAAAGAAAGAGTAAAGGGGATAAAACAGATGTGATAAAATCTTGATAGTATTTGAAACCGTGGGAATTGGTGTTCATTAGACCATTTTCTCTACTTCTGTGTATGATTGAAGTTTTCATAATTAAAAACTGGAAGAAATACTAAGCAGAAGTGAAAATATTCAGTGGTGAATTGTGGAAAAAAAAAGCAGCGTATAAAGTGATAGTTCACAGTGCTTATAACCATGTAATTATATGTATGACCAACCCAACAGCAGTAAGAGCCCTTTAATGCCCACGTGGGTTTCTAGATAACACTTTTACTCAAAGAAAAGGATTCTTTGAGCAAATGGCTAATCCTAGGTCTGGATCAGGAAATGTACAAGACAAACCTGAAATATCTTGCCATACCAGATAACAAAGAAGCTATCAAATACTAGTAAGGTCATGTTGAAAGGACTCAGAAGACTAAAGATATTCTAGCCACTGGCTAAAGCTATTACAACATGAGCATCGGTAAGAAAACTAGGGGCGCCTGGCTGGCTCAGTCGGTGAAACATGCAACTCTTGATCTCGGGGTTGTGAGTTTGGGCTCCATGTCGGGTGTAGAGATTATTTAAAAATAAAATCTTTAAAAAAATTAAAAAAAAAAGAACTAGAAAAGATTCAAACACATCAAATGTATTTAAATATGTAATCTGATAATGACACTAAAAAATGCCCTAATTAATTACTTTGAAGGATCCTAAGGGACCCACTCCCTATTTTCACAATTAGCAGACAAACAGTAAGAAGCAAGTATGAAGCTGGGGGTGGAGGTGAGGAAGTTGTTAAGAATAAATGACAACCGCTTTGCCTCCCTTGTAGCTGGTACTGGACAAGTGGCTCCAAGCCTGCATCAAGCTCTAAGTGAGATACTTATCCTATCATGTAAAGTGCTCATCATCTAGCAGAGGGAGACAGATACAAGCCTGATGTGAGAATGTCAAACTAGAGGTGGAAAAACGCCGTGGAAACAAGCCAAGAAGAGGGCTCACTTTGGAGGGGCCTAGAGGGTAGAGAGATTTCTGGGCTTAAAGGGTTACCACTTACTGGGAAGTTTTTGGAACATTTCTGAACGTGGGCTTCAGAATCTCACACATTGATCTTTACATCCCCTAGCACACACAAGTTTCCCAGGGACTGGCCAAAGTTACGGCTTCAGACAAACCCCCATATGGTTTTCTCCACCTTCTCTGACATCAGGAGACCCTTGAGATGTCCCTTTCAGGAAGAACTTAACTTCCGAGAACTTGATGTCATATCTAGCTTGGGATCCACTTACATTTTGATACTATAAAATTCAGGTCTGGCCCAAATTTGAAAAGGATGTGAAACACTCACGCTCATGTTCAGAGTTCCTATGAGAGGGTTAACAATTATAAATCAACATCAGCCCCTACTGCCACATCCCCCAATATTAAATACCTACTATGGGCTAGACACTGCACTGAGATCTTTTTTCACTTGTTATCCTAGTAAATTCTTCAACTCTGTGAAGAAATACTACACCAGTTTTATAGACCAGGAAATAGGTTCAGAGAATCAAGTCATTTGCTCAGCGACCCAAAGGCCTTTGAAACACTAAGACACAGATCTTCTGAAGACAAACAACGTCAACATGCCAGTGCCATTTCACATTGAAGGAGGGGCTGAGAGGCAGAGACTCACTGAGTTAGAGTGATGCTCTCTATTAATAAATGTTCCATCATCTAAGGCCTTTCATGGACTATCCACCACAGCTCTCCACTTACTTTTCAAACCTCTTTTTGATTTCTACTATAGACTCCAATGTGGATGGAATTTCACTGCCCCTTGTCTCCCATCCCATGTGCACTGCCCCTTTCCCACTTCAATTGCTATGTTCCTTCCCCAGCCCCAGTTCATATCCCCGCCTCCTATTCCAGGAAGCCCTTCCATCTTTTTCCATGCCAATAGCTCTTGCCTTCATGAACATGCTACCTGGACCATATATCTCTATGTAAAGGTATTGATCTGTTTTATTTTTTTTAATGATTTTATTTATCTATTTGACAGAGAGACAGCGACAGAAGGAATACAGGAAGGGGGAGGGGGAGAGGGAGAAGCAGGCTTCCCGTTGAGCAGGGAGCCCGATGCAGGGCTCCATCCCAGGACCCCGGGATCATGACCTGAGCCGAAGGCTCAGGCGCTTAACCGACTGAGCCACCCAGGCGCCCTGATCTGTTTTACATGTATACTTCTGGTCTCCCTGGCCTGCTAGTTCCTTGAAGCCAGGGTTGAATACTGATTTATTCCTTTGGGAAGACAAAGGACACAAAACATACTCTATAAATGCTTGTCAACATTACTTGGATGCAGGCAATAGCCTGCCCAGGAACCTTTATTTCTCAGCATTTCCTATAAGCTTGAGGTTACCATATTCCACTATTCCCTTCTAGCTAGAGAAAGGCCAGCGAGAAATAGAAAGCAACATCAAAGTTGTTTCACTGAGCAAAGCAGCAGGCGTGCATTCCTGCTTTGCACAATCTTACCGCCTCTGGTCCTCAGATATCCCTGAGAGAGCATTCCATACTCATTCAAGGCTATGGAGATTCTATCCTGTCTTTTTCTCTTGGGTTAGAAGTATTAGCTGGGCCACGTACCAACCCTTAGTAAATGAGGAGTTGTGTTCTTTGTAAATTGTGGTAAAATGCACACATAACATTTATCTTAACCATTTATAAGTGTACATTTCACTGGCATTAAGTATTCATTTCTTTTAAAGATTTTTTTACTTATTTGACAGAGAGAGACACAGCGAGAGAGGGAACACAAGCGGGGGGGTGGGGGAGGGAGAAGCAGGCTCCCCGCGGAGCAGGCAGCCCGATGTGGGGCTCGATCCCAGGACCCCGGGACCATGACCGGAGCGGAAGGCAGACGCCCAACGACTGAGCCGCCCGGGCGCCCCGAGTATTCACATTACTGTGCTCTCATCACCATCATCCATCCCCAGAACGCTTTCCGTCTTGCAAAAGTGAAACTCTACACTCATTAAACAAGAGCTTCCCATTCTTCTCTCCCTGCAACCAGTATTCTACCTTCCATCTCTGTGAATCTGACTCCTCTAGGTGCTTCACATAAGTGGAATCACATAGCTTTTGTCCTTTCACGAATGGTTTTACTTAGCATAACGTCACTAAGATTCATCGTGTTGTAGCACGTCTACATGTCAGAACTTCCTTCCTTTTTAGAGCTGATAATAGTCCATTGGATAGATATCTGTAAAATGCATTTATTCACCTATCTGTTGATAGGCATGTGGTTGATTCCAAATGAGGAATTTTGATCCAATGCTAGTGATAAGAAGCTCAGCGACTGGCCCTGGGTTAGAGCAGTCCCTTTGATGTTATAAACACTATCAAGGATTCAATCCAGTGATTAGAACCACAGAACAGAAAGCAGCTAAAGGAATGCCACCTGTTTATCTGTCCCAGGAATTTGGACCAGACATAAGCTTATTTAAATACTCCAATAAAGCCCTGTATAATAATAATAATAAAGCCCTGGCTTCTTAGGATGGTTTAGAAACAAATCTTAAATTCGCTTGTTCCTGAAGACCTCCTTCTCCCTTGTTCTTTTTTTTTTTCTTCTCTTTGGTTTATTAAGATCTAATTGACACATAACATTGTGTAAGTTTAAGGTGTATAACAATAGCTTGATACACTTATATATTGCAATAGGATTACCACCACAGCATTAGCAAACACCTCTATCACATCACATAATTACCTTTTCTCTTTTCTGATGGGAACATTTAAGATCTACTTAGTAATTTTCGAGTATACAATATGGTGCACCTTAACTGCAATCACAGTGCTGTGCATTAGATCTTCAGAACTTAATTCATGTTTTAACTGGAAGTTTGTACATGACCCCAAGATCAAGAATCACATGCTCCTCCAGCTGAGCCAGCCAGGCACTCCTATGAGCTCAGCTTTTTTAGATTCCACATATAAGTGAGATCATATAGTATTTCTCTTTCTCTAATTTCACTTAGCATAATGCCTTCAAGGTCCATCCATGTTGTTGCAAATGGCAGGATTTCCTTCCTTCTCATGAAGAATGTTCAGAAAACACCAAGCACAGTACACACACACACACACAGTGACACACCCCTTCTTCATCCATTTATCCACTGAAGGAGGCTTAGGTTGTTTTCATATCTTGGCTATTGTGAATAATGCTGCAATGAACATGGAGTGCAGATGTCTCTTCAACATCCTGTTTTCATTTCCTTTGGATATATACCCAGAAGTAGCACTGCTGGATCATATGATAGTTCTATTTTTAATTTTCTGAGGAAGTTCCCTACTGTTTTCTTTTTAATTACAGCCATTCTAACAGGTATAAGGTGATATCTCATTGCGGTTTTGATTTGCATTTCCCTGATGATTAATGATGTTGAGCACCCTTTCACGTACCTGTTGGCCATTTATATCTCTTCCTTGTTCTTACCAACCCACATGTTGTTTTTTTTTTTTTTAAGATTTTATTTATTTATTTGTTAGAGAGAGAGGCAGGCAGAGGGAGAAGCAGGCTCCCCGCTGAGCAAGGAGCCCAATGAGGGACTCAATCCCAGGACCCCGGGATCATGACCTGAGCCAAAGGCAGATGCTTAACTACTGAGCCACCCAGGCATCCCCTGCACATTCTTTTCAGAGCCCACTATCTTCATCATCCTGGAGATGGTCCAGCAACACCAAACTCTTTTTAGTGCCCCTGCACATACTCTGCAGTTCCTTGCCCCAGGATTCCACGGTCAGTGGTCTCACTAGCTGGAAGACTTTCTTCTCTTGGCTTACTTCTAGTTACGGTGACCTCTCCAGCAAGACTTTTTTTCTTCTTCTTCTTTGTAGTCCCAGAACCTGAGTGCTTGGCATATAATGGCTGCTTGATAAATTATTAAAGAAACATATTTGCTACATTTACATTCTATGTTGAAAAGACAAGTTTAAAGAAAAATTCAAGGCCAAGGGGATTATAATTTTTATTTATACTTGAATATTGTTCAAATTTTCTAATGATGAGCTGACTTTTCAATTTACCTTTAAAAAAAAATAAGATTAACCTGATCAGGAATAAAGTGGAGAAATCAGTCTACCAGGTTTTAAGACTTATCATACAGCTATAGTCATGAAGACCATGTGGTAGTTAGTGGCAGGAGGACAGAAACAAAGAAAAACGGAGAACAGAAAATCGAGCCATGCAAACATGCCCGACTCATTTATGACAAAGGTTCAAAAGCAGTTCAATAAAGGAAGCATGGCCTTGCCAACAAGTGGTGCTGGAGCAACTGGGCATCCAATGACAAAAATCAACAACAACAACAACAACAACAAAATGTCAACCCAAGTCTCACATCTTATACAAAAATGAACTCAAAACAGATCATGGACTTAAAACTAAAAAATGTTTAGGGAAAAGAGGGAAAAAAAAAATCTCTACAACCTATAGCTTAGCAAAGAGTTCTTAGACTTGACCAAAAAATGTACAGCTCATAAAAGGAAAAATTGTTAAACTGGACCTCATCCAAAATAAAAACTTTTGCTCTGTTAAAGACCCTGCTAAATGAATGAAAAGACAAGATACAGACTGGGAGAAAATATTTGCAAGCCACATTATTTGACAAGGACTAGTATCTTGAGCATATAAAGAACTCTCAAAAGTCAACAGTAAAAAAACAAACAATCCAGGGGTGCCTGGCCGGCTCAGAGGACCATGCAACTCTTGATCTCAGAGTCATGAGTTCAAGCCCCACATGGGGTGTAGAGGTTACTTAAATAAAAACTTAAAAAAAACCCCAAAATAAAAAAACCCCAAACAATTCATAAAGAAAATGGATAAAAGACTTACAGAAACATTTGACCAAAGAAGACATACAGATGGCAAATAATCATGAGAAAAGATGTTCAACATCATTAACCATAGGGAAATGGAAATCAAAACCAATAAGTAAGGGGTGCCTGGGTGGCTCAGTTGGTTAAGTGTCAGACTCTTGATTTCAGCTCAGGTCATGATCTCAGGGTCGTGGGATCAAGCCCTGCATCGGGCTCCCCGCTCAGTAGGGAGTCTGCTTGTTTTCCTCTCCCCCTACTCCTCTTCCTCTCTCTCTCTCTCAAATAAATAAATCCTAAATAAAAATAAAACCAATAAGTGAACAGTTTAACAAATGAATTATGGTACATGTATACCATGGAATACTACTCAGCAATAAAAAAGAATGAACTAGTGATACATACAACAAGTTGGATGAATCTCCAGAGAATTATGCTGAATGAAAAAAGCTAATCCCAAAAAGTTAGAAACTGTATGAACCCATTTATGTAACACTCCTGAAATAACAAAATATAAAAATGGAGGAGAGATTAGTGGTTGTCACGGGTTAAGGATAGTGTGAGAATGGGACAGTAGTGGGTGTAACTATAAAAGGGCAACATGAAGGATCATGTGGTGATAGAAATGTCCTGTATCTTGACTCCACCATTATCAATATCCTGATGGTGATATTGCACTCTAGTTTTGCAGAGAGTTACCATTAGGAGAAAGTGGGTAAAGAGTACACATACTTCTCTTCACTAGTTTTACAAATAGGTGTGCATCTATGATTACCTCAGAGAAGTTTAATAATAAGTTTTTTAAAAAATTAGGCTTTGGGACAAAAATCAGGTGACACTGGACAAGTTACATCTTTTCTCCTAGGGCTAAAAAGACTAAATTAAGAGACCAAATGTCTAAGCACAGTGCCTGGCACAGAGTAAGTCCTCAACAGATGACTATTTAAACGACAATCTTAAGAGTCATGGCAGTGGAAGGGCGCCTGGGTGGCTCAGTCGTTAAGCGTCTGCCTTCGGCTCAGGTCATGGTCCCAGGGCTCCCTGCTTAGCAGAAAGCCTGCTTCTCCCTCTCCCACTCCCCCTGCTTGTGTTCCCTCTCTCACTGTGTCTCTCTCTGTCAAATAAATAAATAAAATCTTTAAAAAAAAAGTCATGGCAGTGCGGATGGAGAAGCATAGAGAAAAAGATATTAAGATGATGGCACTAGTGGGTCTGGAAAAAGAGGAGATGTGGGGTAGTGGATGGCAAGGAGTCAAGGTTGATTCCCAAGTTTCACACTTGAACAAGTGGGTAGTCAGTGGCACCATTTACTGAGCAGAGGAATACATGAGAGTTTTGGGTGCGGTGAGTGTGTGATGTCTGGGAGACATTTGAGTAGAGATGTCCAGTTAACAACTGTATATGCAAGTCTGGAGTTCAAAACACAACTCTGGGACGGAAATTTAACTTGATGATGACCAGCATGCAATGATAATTGAAGCCAGGAGAATCGACGAGATGTCTGAGGAGGAGAAAAGAGCCTAGACCATAACCCCTGTGATGATAAATGAATTTCCAACTTTAAGGACTGGGTAAAGAGGGTCATTTTAGCAAAAGAGACTTAGAGTGGCCAAAAAAGGGAGAAAAGTCAGGCATTTATCATATTAACTAAGCAGTGAAGAAATTAAAATGAGTAGTGAAAAAACAGACCTCTGAATTTAATGACCTAGGTGTCACTGGTGCCTTTCAGACAACACCTTTAGTGAAATGACAAAGTAGGTTTCGGACTGGAGCCAAATGACAAGAAGGCAGGAGAAATGGAGACAGTATCAACAACCTTGAATAAGAAAAGGAGAAAGCATAGTGAGATGGAAGGGGTGTGATACTGAGGGAGGATTTTGTTAAAGGGAAGTATGTTTACATGTTAATGGAAAGGGAGAGCAGAGGGGAAGACACAGAAGATTCATGATAGAAAGGGTAATAATGATCTGAATAGACAGGATGAAATATGATCCAAAGGACAGGTAGCAGGATTGCTCAGTTAGAAGGGGCGCCTCATCAGGGCACCTGGGCATCAGCTCAGGTCATCATCTCCATTATCTCAGCACTGCCTTCCCCCAAAGAAGGGGCACCTCACCTACTCTAAGAAGAGGGAAAAAGTAAAGGAACCATGCAGATATAGGTAAATTTGGAAATATGGTTGTAGTATGTGCACACAGCTACTCTCAGTTTCAATGTTCTTTGTGGAAAAGGCAAGGTCATCTGCTAAGACTGATGGGATGGCTTAATTTTTATTCCCAGCATCTAAGCCAGTGTCTGAGACACAAATAATAAATAAGTTTACTTAATAAAATAAAAATAAAGTTTCCTCACTTCAGTTGTTCATTAGAACCAATACACAATTTTCTCCAAATTAGCCACTAGAGGACAGTGTTGCTACCAATCTTTTCCCCTAAATCTATTAACCCAGTGAAATTAATAGAAAATTAGAGCAGTGTAGGTCATAAAATGTTTTTCCTTGAGAAAATGTGGCTTCAGCCTTATATACGTGTATGTGTGTATGTGTGTGTGTACATGCACACACACACTCATATACAGGCATACTACAGCATGATGGGGGGGCTGTTCCTTCTGCCAGCCTCCCACTACAAAGTTATCATTATGGCCCAGCAGCAATACTCACCATTTTCCAGAGGCCACTTTTTGTAATTCCCCCAATGTGCACAGCAATACTGAATAGATCTCTACATTTTCCTATGATTAATAAATTAGAAAAGACTGATAAAAAAAATCCCTAAATCTAATCCCTGGTAACATTTGCCATAGCTTCTTTCAAGTTGTTTTTCCTATTTACTACCCCTCCTCAAATTAGAGAAAAGTTTTTAAAATTAATTATAAGTAGTTGCAGTCTATTTCATTAACTTCTTTTCTCTTTATCTCAGATGCTTGATACACCACATGCCTGTGATATATATCAGAATAAGCAGCTATTTGGGGAGGGGGTGTTTAGCAACGGAGCTGGGAATTACTTGTCTCCTAGATTGTTTCTAATGAACAGAGGGAACTGGCAAAGTTCTAACTGAAAACAAGGTGCAGAATTTCTCAACGCACAAAAAGAAAATAAGATGTAAAGGCAGACTCTAACCCCATGAGTTTGGGGTCAGACAGATCAGCTCAGTTTTAACTAAGGGAACTGAGTTCCCACAGTAGAGGAGACTTCCAGTCATACCACTGGAACACATCACCTCCAAGCCTAAGAAAAGCTGTTACTAGCTTGATCAAAGGTCTATGGGTGGGAGCTCTAAAGATGATGGGAAAGAGGCTGAGGTCATCATATGACTGTAAGGTGTCCAGTACTTCAGATGGGTGGAAAAGGTGCCTCACTCCAAAGCCCCCAAACTTGCTTTTTTGTTTGTTTTTGTTTGGGGGGGGGTTGAGCTAAGGTTGCTTGAGAACAAAAATACCAAAGAAATGGGTCATAAAAAGAGTCTAGGTGATAGACTTGAAGTAGTCATCACTCGAACACAGACAAGGTATCAAATTGTTTGCAAACTGTATCAAAGTTTCAAGGCTCTTTAGGGTAGTGTTCTAACTTGAAAATTTTCACTGGATACTCTATTCCACTAGCTGGTAATGTTACTACACCATTACTAATAGTTTCAGAAACTCTTTGGGGCCAAAGATTTGTTTTGATTTTTATAAAAACATAAATAGCAAATTACTCATCCTTAACCTAATATAAAAATTCACCTTTCCTAATGAGCTGATACAACTCTGAAAAGGGGGAAAACTCTCTTAGTAATTATACTGCTTTGGCTACCTGGACATCCCTGAAAAATGAGCTTTAGAACTGAGATGAACACTTCATTGCCTCATCCCTACTGTATTTTAAATCTATGTCCACTTTCAAAAGTCATTGTTAAATACTTAGTCTTCTCAGTAAGTGATTTAAATAAGAGCCTGCTTTCATCTACACACACACACACACACACACACACACTCGCACTCCCCAACAACACTTCCTTTGAAAAACAGAATGTCACTTCCTCAATCCAGAGGCCAGAAGTCCCTCAGTTCTGATCAGGGGAGCCAAGACAGGAAACTCTGGTAAGCTTCTGCCTCTCCCCCCATGGACAGCCACTGGTGCAGCTGACAGAGGGCAGGGTCTATTCAGAGCTCCCTTGATGCACTGCAGCTGGAAGGCAACAGCTCACTTTCATGCTGTGGGAATGATCCCAGAGAGTCCAGCACCAAGGGTCAGTGTAACAAGGGCATTTCATAGGCAAGTGAAGAGACCTTGACACCTTTTACCGACCTTCCATTTCCAAACGCCCGCAAAGAGCCCAGGGCTGATAGTAATTAGCACGATCTTGTACTTTGACCCCATCAGGCAAGGCACGGGGCGAAGCGGGGGGGGGGGGGGGGGGAGTGTTAGCCAGACCTCCTCACCAGTCAGCACCAGACTGTATACTACCTTCCCCTCGATGGTGACAGTTTCTCACCCAGAAGGGAGAGGCTGTCCCAGCAATTTCGGTAAACACCGTCAGTAAGCCCCACCTGGCAACTGAGAACCTGGATTTCTCCCGACCCCAGGCACCTAGGACCGCACAAAACCTGGGCCAGTTATACCAGACCAAACTGCAGTGTCACCATCGTGAGGTGGGGTGGGGGGATGTATGTGAGAGACATACAGAATAAAGGGAAAGAAGGGGGACAAACAAATGAGTCACTTAATACAAGAGCTGCACATGCCGCTGACGCTGCCCGTGATGCAGAGGCTGTGGACTGGAAGGAAGCAGGCGGTCACCCGGGAGGGGCGGGCAGAGAAAGGCAAGGGGGAAAGGGTGTGAGGCGCCTCGCCCTTTGTGGGGACCCGGCTGCGCCGCCCCGCAGACTGCGCCCCCCTTTCCCGCCCACTCCCCCAGCCCCGCAGGCTGAAGCCGCCCGGGGTTACTATGGTCCCCCAGCCCCGGGAATGAACTCTCTCGGTCTCCAAAAACAATCAATACAAACTTCAATACCGTATTTAGTTTACAGGGAGGCTGGCTGGGGAGGCGCCGCCACCGCGCCCGCCCAGCGGCGAGGGAGCCGCAGCCTCAACCTGCCTGCCTGCCCGCCCGCCCGCTCCGCCCCTCCGCGGCGCACCTGTGACAGGTGTGCAGGTGCCCCACACAGCCCCGAGCCGCGGGGCGCACCGGCCGCTCCTCGCCCCCCGGGACCCCAGGGCCCGCCCTCCCCTTCGGCGCCGCCCCTCCCGGAGCCCCCAGCCCCTGGGCAGGCCGCGGGGCGCCCCCCCCCCACCCGCGCCGTCCGCCGCCGCACCCGCTCGCCGCCCGCACTCACATAGCGCCTCAACTTCTTCTCGGGGGGCGATTTCCTCAGCCAGCCGGTGCAGACCACGTCGCCGCCGCCGCTCATGCTGCCGGCCGCCTGGAGCCCGCCGCGGGGTCGGACAGACAAGGGCGCGGGCGCGGGCCGCTGGGTCAGCGGGCCGGCGGTGCGCAGCTCGCGGGGGGAGGGGAGGGGCCCGGGCGGCCAGCGGCCGCGGGGCGACGACGAGGCGGCGCGGCGCGGGCCCGGCGGCTTCGCGCGCTCCCGCTCTCCCTGCGCGCGCCTGCGCCCGCGCGTACTCCCAGCCGGGCCGCGGTGGGGGCGCCACAGCAGGAAAAAGGGCGGCGCGCGCTCGCCACGCCCACAGCCCGCCGCGCCCCCCGGCGGGCCGCCTTCAAAGACGCAAACCGCCTCGCTTCTGGGGACCCGGGAGGCCCGAGGTTTGCTCGGTGGCTGAAGCCTGCCGCCGGCCGCGCCCCCCAGGTCTTGCTCCCCTCCGCCCCAAGCCTCAACAGCAAGCAGGAGGCGGCCGCGCCCCTGGTGGGGGTGGGGTGAAGGGAAGGGGCTGCGCGCCCTCGATCGCGAATCGATTTTTCGCCGAGGGTCGTCAGGCAGGGACCCAAGGGCTGCTCGCGTTTCTTATCCATTCCGAGTTTCAGGTTTCAGTGGGTCAGGTTCTGGCAGAAATTAGTGATCCGCTTCCCAGCAAGAGTTTCATTAACTCTCGCACCCCCTTGGCGGGAGAAGCAAAGAGACTGTTACGTGCTGGGCGCTTTTACATTCCTTGTTTACATGACTGTCTTCACAAATCTACAAATTGGGCGAGCCGTATTATTCCCATTTTGCAGATAGCCTAAAGTCCCAAAGCTTGTGCAATAGAGAGGCAAGTTTCCAATGCTGGGGCTGGGGGTGGGGTGAGGGTGGTCTTGCTCATCTGCTATTTAAAGTGGGGTAATTGCTTTAGTGTCTACCGTTCAACTTGGGGGCCTCTTACCAGCAAATAAAGTCCATCTGGCTCCCGCATTGCCTCTGGGAAAAACAATTCAGGAGAAAGAAAATTCGTGTGATTTACAGAATCGAAAAGTGAGTCAATGTATTTCATAGTGAATTAGAGGGCAAGGTGGTGTAGAACAAGAAATTGGGGTCAAAATTCCCCAGAGTCCAAATCACTGACACACGTTATAAAACCTCTCTGGGGCTCATATGAAAATTGGAATCTAATGATACTTCTCTCACTGCCTTGTGGTGAGGTTTAACTGAAATAAAGTATGTGTAAGCACACACTTGATAACCTCAGTACTTCAGCAGGAGGATGGAGGGGGTAAAAAAACACCCACCTCTGGTCGGGGCTCTTTTCAACTCACAAAGTACCTTTAGGAGCAGCATTAAAAGGTAGGTCCTCCCTCAACTTCTCTGAGAAGTGGATAGTAACCCCTGTCATCATAGGGTGCTGTGCTGTGGGGCAGATGAGTGGGAGAAACAGCATCTCACACTTCCCATACAACTTAAGACCAAGGGTATTTTTGCTCATTTTCCTGTCTCTGTGCAGCAAAGCTAGTTGTTTCAAGCTGTTGGACATTGTTCTGGTTTTACAGATCTTGCCTGGGTTGGAGAAGGTTCACTCTCTTCAATCAGTTTGTAAATGCTAATCCTTTACTATATGCTTAGCTTTTCTAAGCATCCTGAGAGGTAGAGATCAGCTCCCCTGCACCCATCATTTCATTGGCTTTCTTCACTATCAGTGTGCTGCTGGATTGAATGTAAAGCCGGAACCATGAGGCTATGGCTGGGACCAGAGCTCCCTTAGCCTTCCAATTTAGAGATCTTTAAGCCACATTGAAGGCCACCACTAGAATTAGAGCCATTTTAACCTCTTGCTTTAAGTATCTTGAAACCCTGTGAGACAAATATCAAAATAGTCAAGTCTGCCAAATCAATCAGGAGGCAGTGACTCCCAACCAAAATAAAGCAATCTGACTTCATTCACATCTGAGTCATGGTGCCAAGTCTCAGTGATTGCAGTCTGCATGGTTTGTTTGCAGCTGAGGTGTATGATGCAAGTCAGGCATACATATGCCTTATCTTTCCCTAGAAGAGTAGTCTTCTAATACATACCCTTTGATAGTTGTATGGACTGCATTCTGCCAGAAGCTCCTGAGGGTCTTATGCTGTTTTGCAAAAGACCCTCTGCTCCCCGTTATTTATAATTCCATGTGGAAATAGAAGTTTTTGATGTTCTGAGCCAATGACAGGAGGGGCCTCAAAAGACAACAGTTACAGAGTAACAGGTCTTCCCAGCAATCCAAAAGTGGTCCCTTCCCATGAAACTTCCCGGTAAGCTGACATGGGGTAAAGTGAAGAAGCAATTAACATCTCCTAAAAGTGAAAATCCTCCTTGAATTTCTTTTGGTGGGCAAAACCAAGTAGTAATGTGTGTCTTTTGTAAAAGTGAAGGGGTGTAATGCAAACTTTTGGATAGTGGGGAAAACTTGTATCAGTTTCAGGAAGTCTTCTCTGAACACACCATTTCTTTCCCAAAAGTTAGAAGAAAGGTGCTCTTCTTGGTGCTTTCTGGCTTCCCACCCCACCTTTATCATTACTTAGCTGCCAGCACCCAGCTCAGGCTGCACACATAGGAGGCAGGACTGCTGCTGAGGTCCTTGGCTGCACCCTGTTGTGGCTCAGTCTGAGCCTGAGGTGTGTGCCAGTCCTGGGAACAGCCCTTGGACAGAACGTTCCTGTCTGGGCCTTTACTAAGTCCTCTCCACTCTCTGCCGTCTTTTTTTTTTTAATGCCCTCTGGTTTTCGCTGGTGAGAAATGGAAAATGAATTAGGAGTGATTTATTTGCATGAAGATAGGCGCCATCTATTGGAACCAGTAGGGATGACAGCCCCCCACCCCCAGCCCCCAAACCTGTGAGGACATGCATCACTAGTCTATAATTTAGGCAATTTTGATTAAAGACCAGGGGTATTTCCTGGGGGGAATTAATTCCCGGCTGCAAAGAGCGCTTTGGGTCATTAATTCTATCTTCTCATTAAATCCTCAGGAAATGACCATCTTATGGCGAGAGCTCCTCTGGAGGAAGCATTGCAGAGATGAGAACCGCACACATGGGAAGAAAACACGGGCATAAGGTTTTCCTCTCCCTCCTCCTCCCCACCCCCAAAGCCTGGGTTCTAAAGGGTGCACTCTGGCTTTGAGTGTCGTCAGCAACAGCCTGCATCCGTGCCTGTCTGGGAGTTGAGGGTTTGTGGCCAGTGGCAGGTGCATAGCTGATGGAACGGTCCCAGGAATGGGTTGGAAGGAGAGTTGTCCTCAACTGCACACCAGGCTAGCGTGATTAATACCACCCACTCCAGGCTTGACGTCAGTGATTGGACCGGGGGTGGGGGATGGATGTTTGTGTCCCAGCCATGCTGCCTTTTCCCCCCTTCAATTTAGTTGACAGGTTAATTTCAGAGCTGAGTAGTGCTTGCCAAGGTCAGTGTGGCCAGCTGAGCCACCTCAGCTAGTGACTTTCAGGACACTGGACTCTCATGAATGTTGAGGTGTGTGCCTTTTTAACCCCGGGATGCTTTGAGCCCATTTGGTTCCATCAAATTACTGTGACCTACTCAAATCAATTTCTGGCATATGAAGGGTCCTGAGATCTGAAAGAGGGCTTGGGGTGTGGCTGAAGACCTAATTGGGTTTCCTCCCTGTCTGCAGCTGCTAAAAAACTGAAGTTGTTTGACATTACACCCAGTGGAAGATATTTTGGAAATAAACTTTCTTATAGGGAAAAGTTTGAGCAAGTCCAATTTCCCAATTTCTCCTTTCTAAGAAACTAGAACCTGTGCTGCTTTGGGGCAGTTAGACTTCCGGGACATTTCTGCTGACACTGGTGAGGGTGGTACATCATCGAGTTCACAGATCATGCTGCACAGTTACCATATTCTCCCAAGGACAAAGACTTGTCAAGTGCCTGAGAAAGTGCCCTCGTACTCCGAACCATACTTTCCATGATGGCCCCTTACTTCCTTCAGAGAGAACTCCTACCTTGCATTAGATCTTGAACATATGTCAAGACCCCTCTCCTTAAAACTCACCAGCCCCACTCCTCAGCATGGTTGTTCATGTTTTTCTGAATTCACATTGCACCTGTATAGGTTATCACAGTGTACTGCAAATACTTGGGCAGGGTTGTGTCTTCCTTATTCTTATATCCCTGAAGCTTCCCTGCATGGTATCAGGCACACAATCAATGCTCACGGAATGTTGTGAGAATAAAAACAAAAAACAAAAAACCCTTAAAGGATGGCACGTGGGAGCAGTGGACTCCTGGAGCATCCAGGAATTTCTGATCCATCCACACCAGAAAACAGTACCTGTGAAGATACTTATAAGCAGCTGGAGTGTTTAAATCCACAGGGACTGGCCTCGTGGGAAGGGCTGAGCGGGTGGAGGTAATTCTTTGCAGTTTCACTTTTAGGGGTGGTTGAAATCCTTGGGTAGTTTCTAAAACAATGGCTCCTTAGACCTTTTGACTTCTATCTCTTGACTCGAGAGAGGTTAACTGTTAACCCTTGGCTTCCAAACCCCAACACTGTTGTGCAGACTCCCCAGATACTCTCTTCTCTGGGACTAATAAGTAAATCATTTGTGGTTTATTTGATAGCTGGCCTCATTCTGACAGTCCTATAGGGGTGCTGTCACTTAGCCCCTTATACCCACATATGTGAGAAATCATGTTCCCTGAGTCAAAGTGGGTTTCTCCCAACAGGTGACCAGAAATACCATTTTCTTCTGCACTGAATGCATGCATAGTGGCTTTGCAGATTTGCTAGTTTCTGTTTTGTTGGGGATCCAAAGGCCACAGGAGACCATCTCATTTAAGTAATTCTACCAGAGTTACCCAAAATGGTTGTCTGACCCACACAGCCAGGGATGTGTTGATAAATGTTTAAAAACTGACCTTGATTTGTAGTATGTGGCAATTTTTGTGGTGCAAATATTATACCTCCTCACCTCCCTGACCAATTTTAAGCTATCAACTTTATGTGTATGAACAGAGTTAAGAGATGCTAAGTAATACATCATTATTTAGTACTTCCAACATATACACAAAAATGCCAAGAGCAAACAGTGAAATAATTAGTAACTGTGCTTTCAATTATTAAATTTTGATTATTTATTCCCTTTGTTTTTATTATAACATTTAATTGTAAGTTTATGTGAGTTAATTTTTTTATTAACCTATCATTCATTGGCCATAAGTCACCCTTTTTTTTTCATAAGTCACCCTTTTAAAGTGTGCAACTCAGTGGTTTTCAGTATACTCACTGAGTTGTGCCACCATCATTGCTGTCTGATTTCAGACCATTTTTATTACCCCAAAAAGAAACTCTATATCCATTAGCAGTGACTCCTCATTCCCCTAATCCCAAACCCCTGGCAGCCACTGATCTACTTTGTCTCTATGGATTTGCAATTCTGGACATTCCATGTAATTGGAATAATACAATACGTGGCCTCTTGTGTCTGACTTCTTTCACTTTCTATGTTTTCAAGGTTCCTCTGTTGTAGCATACATCAGTTCTTCCTTTTTTTGGCTGAATAATATCCCTTTGGAGATACCATATTTTATTCATTCTTCAGTTGATGAATATTTCAGTTGTTTCCAACTTTTTGGCTACTATGCATAATGTTGCTGTGAACATTCATACCTGTACGAGTTTTTGTGTGGATGAATGTTTTCACTACTCTTGAGTACATACCTAGGAGTCAAACTGCTAGATCATAAGGTGAGTCTGTGTTTAACTTTTTTTTTTTTTAAGTAATCTCTACACCCAATGTGGGGCTCAAACCCATGACCCTGAGATCAAGAGTCACATGTTCTACCAATTGAGCCAGCCAGGCGCCTGCCTTTAACTTTTTAAGGAACTGTTGAACTGTTTCCCACAGCGGGTTACACCATTTTACACTACCAGCAACGTATGAAAGTTTCAATCTGTCTCCATCTTCTCCGATACTTGTTACTTTCCATTTTAAATTATTTAATTTTAATAATGCTACTCTTTTTTTTTTTTAAACAATCAGCTTGCAAAATTTTTCACCACAATCTGTTCTCATGGGCTGGTATGAGCCAGTCTTAGCATACAACTGCATACAGCCTATCTCAGAAAGTCCCACCATCCTTCTCTGTAGTTGTTAAGTTCCACTTCTATTTTGCTGACAAGAGCATACTCAATAGATTTCTATTTCCTTCTTCTTCCATCCTTCCTATAGAAAACTGAAACCTTAGAAGGTCTCAGATTTTTTTCTATTTTGGAATCAAGAAGATTTTTGATTCTGGAGTATCACAAAGTTTTCAACTCCCACCAAGCAACTCTGGGAAGAACAGAGTGTTTCCCTCCTACATTTGTGTTGAGAAACAAAAATAAAAAACAAAATGTATCTTCCTGACACCAAGATATATCTTCTGGATGAGCTCTCAAGCAGTTGCTTCAACAGGGCAAACAGCTGTGGTCTGTTTCAACATAATTTGATGTAATCAGGGTTAATTTTGATGATGCAGTAACTCTGAAGACTGTTTTTTAACTGGATTACTGTTGGGTCAACAATCATGTGGTATTACACTTAGTGGCTGAAACAAAAGCCAGAATTAAAACAGCTTCCCCCCTAGCCCCTTCTAAATGACAGTCCCTAAATGGGATTAGGAGTTATGAGGCACATTTAACACAATTAACTAAAAAAGGAAAGTAGTTGCAGTCAAATTACATGCAAGCTTCTCCAAGGTCCAGAGTGTTGACTGAGGAAAGAGCTGGAAACTTTTTTGTTGTTTTCTTTTCCTAGAGTGATTAGAAATATGTTGGCAGTAATCACTATAACTTAACATTTTTGTTACATTCTAGGAAAAAGCCCTAAGATTTTCTTCAGAAAAATTTTCCTGAACCAAATGACGATTTTAGCAGTCCACAGTTCCCTATTTTCCATGCATGTTTTCAAAGTGATGATTTTAAGTGAGGACTCAATTCAGGATGCGGAATGCCAGGGCTGAATGGATGTGGTACACAAAGCTCTACACACATTTGGAACTGTTTCTGAAGAGCAAAATCTTTTATCTTACTCTCATTGTTTACGGCCAGCCAGCAGCAGGGTCAGGGTCGCTCTAGGCACACACGTTTTATTTAGTGTCTTACAGTTTTCAGTTTTGGCTAGTCTGAAACACAGTGAAGGCTCATCATGACAAAAGCCATTCTTAACACAGTTCTGGAAAGAATCTTCAAAAATAGATGTCTTGCGAAGCTGCCAAGTGTATTGGTTCTTCAAAACCTCTCTAATCCAATTTTGTAGTTCAAAAAAGGTCTATTTGTCCAATCCTCTCTGTAAATAAGCCTCCATTCATTTGTTTTCTGTTTTTGTGACTTAGGGAATCAAGAAACTTGAAAAGCAAAGAAGTCACTTACCCTCCTATGGCATTTTATTTATCAGGAATTTCTCATCTACATAATTTCCTGATTAGCATATATTCTGGGATAATATGTGGGTATGACTAAAACGTAATGAGACTACAAACCAAAAAAAGTAATGACAGTTCTTTCCATAAGTCAGATAGTGTATTAATGTTTTCTTTTCAGTTGTAAAAGCAGATACCTATTTTAAATTTGCTTAAGCCCAAAGAGGGAATTTATTGGTAAGAAAATGAGGCATCTCCCATGGAACACAAGAAAAAGTTGAATAATCTAGCCTCAGGAAGGTTGGCAACTGAGGACTAAATATAGCAAAAACTGGGCTGCCAGTCGGTATATGTGTGTCTGTCTCTCTCACAGACCATATGGTTTTTCATCTTTGAGCATGTGCCTTTATTTCTTTCTGCAGACTGCCTTCTCTGTTTCTTGAGGCACATGGTTGCCCTACATCTCCTAAATTTACATATTCCTGGTTCAAGCATCCAGTCCAGACTCTCTGGTGTTCTTAACCCCATTTTTCTGAGAGAAAATGAGACTGGCCCATTTTGGGTCAGGTGTCCACCCCTCGTCCAATCAGCAAGGGAAGCTCCTGTCCCCAGTATGTCTGCTGGGCATCCACTGGCTAGGATGGGGTGGGGGGAATTCTCAGAGGAGGAATGGGTTTGATAACTAAGCCACCTCGAAAAGTATTTAAGAGAGGCAAGAAAACCAATCTTGTTTTGTTCAGGACGTGGCCAGTACCTATCATTTGAAACTTTGAAAACACTAGAAAGGCACATACTTTTATCCAAATACAAACTATATATCCGAATACATGTTACTTAGGAAAGGTCATTTATGTCCTTGTTAAATTCTCAAAAAAGATTTTCTTAGAACCTACTACAAGTTCATCATAGGAACACAGAGATGAGTAAGACCAGGGTCTTAGGAAGTTCAGGGTTTTTCTGGGGAGAGAAATAGGTAGGCAGATGTCTATAGCAGCGTGTGGGCAATGTTGTTATAATAGAGGTATGTTCAAAGGATGGTGGGAGCCAGAGGAATTATCAACCAGCTGTATGGGAACTGAAACTGTAAGATCTTAGGTTTTGCTTGTTTTGGGGTGCCCCACAGAGTGACACACAGAGTTAGCATTAATTAACATTTGCTGAACTAATGACGTAAGCTACTTCAATTTGGAGGCAAGAAGCCTGTCTAGATTTGGAGAGCAAGGCAGAGAACACTAACTGAAAATCTAAGCAACTCTAAGTTCATCTGGTACTTGCTTCTGAATTTCTTCCATCAATCAAATACATTCATTCATTCTTTACTGAGCACCTACTGTGTGCACGGCACATGGCTAGGTGCTGGTTATATAATGATGAACCGCAGAGCAATGTTCTTGAGAAGTCTATTAAGTTACCATGCCCTAGAAACTCAGCTTCAGTAACAGCTCCTAAGGACAAGTTACTAAGTGAACTCATAAATACTTGTGACTCCTGACTCTTTGTTCTATGTTCAGGCAGTGGCTCCAGACTTGGATTTTTATGCTGAAAGGGCTAGTTTAAAAATTTATGAAATATTTCAGACACAGAGGGAAAAGCCAGTTTGGGAATTACTTTTTAAGGAATATTTTCCTTTGGTCTGATGGACATATTTCCTCTTTTCTTTGGACACCTCAATGACACCTAATTCATTCAAGAGTTATTAAATCAGTACCCACTACGTGCCAGATACTCTCCAAGGCACTGCAGATAAAAAGATGGATGCAGTCTCCTCTGTGTTATGTAGCTTTTGTTCTGGCAGAGAAGACAAATGACAGTTTAGGATGGCAATATTTGTTTATAGTGCTGAAGGAGCATAATGAAAGGAGTGAGTCTGGAAGCCATTGTCCAACCAGTGGTATCTTGAAGTACAAGTAATATAAATATGTGAAAATGCAGAAATCCTAGCTGCATTTTAGAATGTCACCCCTCTTGAAATAAAGCCTCACAGACTCAGACAGTGTGGTTAGAGTTGTAATATTTTGATTCTGGGTGACTAAGAGGTGACAGGTGTGTAGACTGAGAAAGCCACCCAAGCCTAATCACAGGCATGTGGAGACAAGTCGTGCTGCATCAGAATGCAGGGTATACTCTAACTCGATTGGCAAGACAGGAATCTGTTGAGGGCTGCTAACTCTCTGGAAGAAAGTTAATCAAGAGCTAAATGACAGTCAAGCACCAAAACATGAAAGTTTCCACATATGATAATTTTGTGCTTGTTGATCAATGAATAGACCACTTCTAAGTTTTTGAGAAACATTAACCATATACATAAGAGCCTTCCAGAACAACTTAGTAAAGCAGATATGTTTGTTTCAATAAAGTTGACATACCTGGTTGGGGAATAAGTTGGAGAAATGAAGGGGAAAAATCTGGATGTTGATATATTACTGGGCACAGGAGGAATCAGAGTGGCAGAGAAACACAAGCATGGGAGGAAAAAAAAACACGGGTGAGGTAGTGGACAAGAAAAGGAGGACGAGATCTAGGTCAAGAGGTGTGGTAGGCTTCATGTGACATGGGTTTGAGAGTAAGGTCACTCTGTGGGCTGGCTTTCCCTCCCTGAAACAGAGGGAAAAGGTGCAGGCAGAACAATCCAACATAGTATGTTCTTCAATGAGCAGATTTGTGTAACTATTATCTTTTACTGTAAAAATATTAAAAGCTCACTGAAGCTTTCTCACAGAGTGGAATTAAACCACCTACATTAGGATCACTCAGGGTGACTGTTTCAGAAATGCCAACTGTGGGCTGTTCCATCTACTGAATCAGCCTTTCTAGGGTAGGACCAATGTAATCTGAATTTTTTAATAAGCTCCCCAGGTGATTCTTATTCACAGTGCACAAAGACTGCACGCAAGGGAGTCCCTGAGGCAAGGAGCATGTCCTGTTTATCTCTGTCTTCGCAGAGTCTAGCACTGGACCTGGCACAGTGAGTGCTCAGGAAGTTTACTGAACTGAGTAACACCAATGAGGATTTGAAAGAAAAGGGTGCTCAGTTCCACTGCCCTGAAAAAGCTGATCTCATTTTTCTCCCAGATGCTTCTAGTCCACATACACAGATTTTACAGTATTATAACTGCAAACAACAATTTAACATTTTAACACTTTTTCTCCTATAATTTTAATGGCTATAAAATATTTCATTCAACATGCAATAAACATCTTAGTTCATACAGATTTTGAGTTTTGAAAAGGTTTCCCTCAGGACATCTTCTATTTGTGCAGTTTATAAAACCCTTTACACAGCCTTGTTTCTCATAATATTTTGTACGATAAGGACTACCCTCATTCTGCAGATGCCTATTCAAACCCATGAAATAAACTGCTCAAGGTCACACAGCTCAAAAGTAGAATGTCAAGACTTAAGTCAGGGTCTTTTCCCTCTATGTCTAATACCCTTCCCAAGACACTGAACATCCACCACGTTTTCTGGCAGGAACCTGACCCAACAGTTTCCTGATGTGAAAACCTGTAGTGCAGAGTGTGGAAGATGGAAATTACACTTAAAGAGATCACTGTATCCTAACTGTACAGGAATGAGTTCCTGCCTTTCGGGGCACTGCAAAGAAAATGTGTATTGGTGGGAATCTTCAGTGAAAAAATGTATTGTTCTCCAACAACCAATGTGTGTATGTCCCAAATCCATTTCTGCGATCCTCAAATGAAGGGGGCTGGTACTGCCCTGAACATTCTGAAACTGTAGTTAGGACTCCTCAGCAGTTACTACACCTCTCCAGGCTGTAAGACAGCCGGCAAGGAGGCACTGGAGACTTTGAAGCTCTTCTAATATCAAGACTCGTATCCTAGGATACTTGGGTAGCGGCTGAGTGGACAGTGGAGGGAAGCCTTTTTGCCAAGAGAAAGGCCCATCTTCAGGATCCACCGCCTGATGAATAACCCTAGTGGGGTGCAGCCCTTCAGAGAAGGGCAGACTGTCAATCTGAGCAGCTTCAGAGATTCTATCCTGGAGAAGAGAAGGCTGGGGAGAAGAAATGGTGTTGCTGTGTTTCTAACTTATTACACAGGTTTTGGTAATATCAGGTCAGAGTTCTCCAAGGATAGGAAAAGTTCTCTCTTAGGTGGAGAGCTCCTATTCACCTAAGGGATAGTGAGGGGGTGAACTACCAGGAGCTGGGAAAATACAAGAGAGGATAGTTTATACATCACAGACAGGGGAAGAAATAAGATCTCTAGGAGATTTTTCAAATCCAGGATCCTATGAAAACAGCAAAACGGTTATTGTTGAGCCAGTGTGCAGAGGTTGTAAGTCAGAGAGTCACGGCTGCAAACGGCCCAGGTTCTGCAAAACACACTTCTAGCTGTTTCTATGTGTATGTGTAGCATGAAAAACCTCTGCTGGATGGGCCTACCACATTTCTATTCTCAGAGCATCATCCTGATGATGCTTAATCAAAGGTTAATCACTTTGGGGGCGGATATTAATAATCCCCACCAAAGTTCTTTCATCTGTCTTTCTATGTATATTCTAGGATGATCCTAAGAGGAAGGTAAGGCAAATAGGAATACAAACTCATAAAAAAAATGAGGCACAGCAAGCTTAAGTACACTGCTGGGTCCAGGGCTCTATATTCCATTGTCAGTGTTTCTCTTTACGAGAATGCATTTGAACTCAATCGTCATTTCCCTGCACACTCTTAAGTCTCTTCTCCTTGTGCAAAACAAGGACATCAGAGGCCGAAGTGTGTGTTTTGCAACATGTCCACTAAACTCTGGGGCTGAAGATGCAAAACTCTTTGGTTACTACAAAGCTCTGGGTTTTCAGTTTCTCTGGAGGCTAAGAGTGGTGAACTTTATTTGCAGTCTTAATCTTCCTTGATATTAGGAATTCTAATACCAATCTTTGTAACAAAAAAAATGAATCTTTTATTAAATCAAATGAATTTGAAGCACAGTAGGCTACAAAAGAACAAGGTCTATAATACACTGTGAATACGTCAGGCCATTTTGTAAACTGTAAAGCAACGCTCAAATGATAACAATTATGAGCAGTAAAGAAGTAGCCTAAAGTTACTGAAGAGTCATGAGCTATGTTAATTCAATAGCTGTCTGAATGACAGTTTAGGAACCACCTAAACTCTTGACTTCTTTACAAAGTTCCCCTAGGAACTCCCACACAGTGTGCTAATAATGGCTATAAATTCATTGGACTCCAAACCAAACTGCATAAGAGCTAACTGTAGGCTTAGCTGATCAGAAGGGCAACCCAGGGCTCCTAGTACCGGCAGAATGTCTAGGTTTCTAGAGGTGTGTTGACCATGATCTAATAAGATCTTATGCAAGTCCTAGTAATCATTTTGGTGTCGGGTGATTAAGGTTATTTTCTGTCCTTAATGCTTTTTCTTTTAATTTGGGCTATACACTGGGAAGAAACTACAATCAGATATTACTCCCACCTGTTTTCTTTTTATTATACATACTTTAGATTGCAGACTGAATACAAATATTGATCAGAAGCCAGAAAGCTCCACACATTTCTTATCAATGCAATCCAGGCCAATCTGTCTTTCAACTCTGCATTTTTATGTTCTTGCCTCACCACTTACTGAAATAAATATATGAATAAATAGCAATCCAATCCAAATAAGCATCTTTCATCTATAATTATCTGAAACAAGAGATTTAAAGAAGAGTAGAGTTAATCCATCTCACCAATTGCATCTTCAATGCCTGTTCAGTCATGCCTGAATGTCTAGATTCAATTTATAGAGAGTATGAATGTATAACATTGTAGAGGGGCGCTTCTGGCAGATCCTGTCTGAGAGGGACAAAAGGTCAAACAGTTCCTTTGCTGTTCTGTGACAGTTAGTCTCTGGGCTGGGTCAGAGGGTGGGAGAGTTATGTCTAGATCTGGAATGGATCACTCACACAATTAAGTTCTTGTCAGACCAAAAAAGAAAAAAAAAAAAGACAGTACAACTTCCCCAGGCAAGAGGACAGCCAGATGGAAAGTAACTATTTTTCTCCACCTACTTCAAAATTTGAAATGAGAATGGAAATTAATGATGGAAAAACCATTTCTAAGTTTCAAAATACACTCTTTCTTGGGTGGCTGGGGTTACTATTTTGAGGTGATGTTTGAAAATCTTGGGAAAACAGAAAATCAGATTTTTCCCTCATTGGAAACTGGTTACTCAAATAAAAATTAACACCCTCAAATCACCTTTTCTCTCACAAATGAAGTCCTATAAGAATATTATTATAGTGCAGGCAGTCCTCAACTATGAAATCTACACTTCTATTCATTATACACACAATTATAAGATGCTGCTTATCCGTAGAATTTGGATATTCATATACTAGCTGACAAATGGACATTTTAAAGTTTTCTTCCTGCTGTTGCTGCTGAGTTTTGGCATTTTCATCATCTTTGACACCAGTATTTGTTGTTGTTCAATTATTGGTAAAATAAAAGTATTGAGCCAAAGATGTAAATTTTTAGGCTTCTTATGAGTGGCAAGTGTTTGGCTTCAACTAGATACTCGTTGTGTGGTCAAATGTAGAGGAAAAGAATGAATAAGTATGAAAGCTGAGAAATACACTGCTGAAGACTATCAGAAAGGCAGGGAACAAGGTTTATTTGAGAAGGACCTTCTCCCACCCCACATACACACACAAGGAACACACTTAAGTCTACTGTAAGACTTTCAGTGATTTGATTTCCCGGTACATTTTCGGAGACCTAATGTGTACTAAAACAAAATGTAAAGGTTAGACTCTAAATCAATTATTTTTAGTGATTATCTCCAGCACAGATTCCTGAAAGATCAAGAGACAGAAGAAGAAGCCTTAGAGTTGATGCACTTGGGAAGGACAGTTCTGCGGGTGATGTAATTGGAGGGCACAAAGATGATCTTGCTTGATTAGAGCTCCACAGCTACATCAATGGTGGCATGGGATGGGAACCTGGAGTTTTCCTGATTCACTATTTTTTACACCACTGTTATTTAGGAGGCCCCACCATCACGTTGACATTAGAATTCTATCTGGTTCCTCAAGAATTGCTGGAGACATGATTCCTGATAGCCTTGGAAAATATTAGTGCCTCCGGGTTGGGGGCCTCTGTTTGTGATTCTCACTCCACAAAATTAATACAGTATTAAGACCTGAATGTCCAATCAGTACTGATGCTGAGAATGTTTCAGAACGGTTTCTGCATTTACCCCCAGGTCTAAGGTTAAAGATCACCGTTTCAGAGATGCCTTCTCTAGCAAGCTCATCTATGCTTGCCCTGCTCTTTATAAAATTTTATAGTTTATGTCATATTTTGAAATAGTATGTTTGTTTGCTTACTGATTGTGTATCTTCTCTAACAGACTATAAATTCCATGAAGGCAGGGGTCATTTCTGTTTCGTTCACTATCATTTATTTAGCACCTAGCACAGTTCTTGGCATGTAGAATAAGCTCAAATAATATTTGTTGAACAAACAAATGAATTTCTCTCTCTAACCCATGATTGAGGCAAGCTTTATGAAAGCCCTAATTACCTCTTTTGTCCTGTCCTAAACTTGGTATCGAAGCCCAGGAAATTAAAGTTCTAGGGAGGTAGATTTTAGCTCAGCAAATGCTACCAATTAGGGAGATGCAGAAATGGAATGAGCTATTTGGTGGGATACCGAGCACTTTGCCAAGAAGAGGCTGCCCAGGTGTGTAGGATCTCTCTGCATCGGGCAGAAGTTTGGTCATGAGAACATCTCAGTGACTTTTGTGATCTCCAGCTCTAAGGTTCTGCAGTTATTTTCAGTTGTCTGCTTTGAGTTAGGATGAAATAAAGTGCACATACACACTCATTAGGAAATAAACTAAGATAAATTATCTAATGAGACACAGAAAATTGATTATTCAGGCACGCATGCCGTTTACCCTTATTTGATACATACAAACTCTACTGAGTATACAACTTTGCTGTAAGTCATAGATATATAACTTAATGAAGACTAAAAGAGTTAAAAACAATTTGTGTAGCATTTCACAGTTTTAAACACATACACACAACACTTTCATGTAACTGCTGTATCAACTCTGAGGAAAATGACGTATGAACTCATACAGAGTTAAGTGGCTTGTCCAAAATCATAGGCATAAAGTGCTACAATTGTCAGGTCTCAAACTCCCAAATGAGCAATTCTCTCAAAAACTCTAACAGACGATGTTACTTTTTGAGTCCAGAATTACCCATCCTTTAAGTTTAGCTATATTGGCACCCTCATCTTGCATTGAAAATATTTTTCTTCCAAATTTTACTGGGAAAAGGCCAAGTGGAATTTAAAAATGTATTTTTCTTTCATAGGTATCAAAAATCTACTATTTTATTGATTATTAGAGAAGTTATAAACAGCTACTATAAACAAATTATAAGTCATTAGTTTAGATAATTAATACATCTTATTCGCTTTTATAATTAAAGATCAACAGTTATTAAATGTCACTTTTTTCACTCAGTCTGATGAAGAAAGATTTCAATTCAGAATAGTAACTTTATTAACTCATTTAGGACCCTGAAAGTAATATTTTCTTCTGTGATGTCTACTAAAGCGATGAAAATAAGATAGGCATTTATCATAGGTTAAATGGCATGTGAAAAAAGACCCAACATTTTCTTTTTACCTACTAGTGGTTTTCAAAGGCCACACAGGACAGTGATCTAATGATTAAAGACAAATGAAAATACACTATCTCATCCTGTCTTGAGAGTTTGAAAGGACTCTGAGACCACAGTTCAGTCTTTTCATTTCTTCTTAATTGACATAACAGATTTGAGATTCTACCTGCCACAAGTACCTCTTTTTGAGGGAGTTCATCTTTCCATGAAATGCTGTCAACTTTCTAAGAAAATTATGATCACTTCTATTTTTCATATGCTCTACCTTATGGCATGACAATCACATACCGAAAACTTCTCCATTTCTAAAATTCAAACATGCATTCTCCTGTATGCATATTCATGTGCAGTACCTCTGGCATGGGGTGATTTTCCTTAACCAGGCTTCCGGCTATAATATACATGAATGAGTAAATCTTGGAAAAGGGATAACATCTTTGATGTTGTCAATTCCCAAGATGCACTGCAGATAGCGTTCAAATCCCATTCCAAAACCTCCATGGGGAACAGATCCAAATCGACGGAGGTCCAGATACCTGATTTTGAAAAACAGAGAATCATCACCTATAGATGCTGTATTGGATCAGATGTCATGATAGAATTTTGTTTCAAAAGTATTTTGCAATCATCTGTTATCATCCACATCATTTTGATAAGCAAATCTTTTCCCTCCAAGGACAGGTGAAGGACACAGAGAAGTTAAAATGATCTGTCCAAGGTTACTCAGACAAACAGCAGCAAGTCCTGTCATGCATTCATGGGCTTTGGTCACTTGATCCTTTTTAAGTTATATATGTACTTATATTCAGAAAACTTGCCTCATGAGGCTACAGAAAAAGTTCTAATAACTTTACTATTTTTCTTGAAAGTATATTTGTTTTCTATTTCTCAGTATGTTAATACTTTTTTTTCTTACTAAAATCATACTGTTCAATACACAGAAGAGGGTGAAGAGTTTTGCTTGATATATCATAAAAAGATACCCCTACTAGAATAGACTGTAAGCTCTATCAAGGGCAGGAACTGTGTCTTATTTCCAGTGTCTGTTCTGGAGTAGATGCTTCATTACTCTATGAAGATTTGTTGTTTGAAGGCACAAAAATAGACTCTTGAAATCTAGAGTGAAATTTCCAGTTCTGGGCTTCAAACCTAGTAGAATAAGTCCAGAGTCATTTTTCTGAAAGGCTAGCTAGCCTCTGAAGCTTATCTATACTCATTCTATTTCCACTTAAGATTACATGGCTAGAAAATGGTGCAGCCATGATTCAAACTCAGATTCCAACACACCAGCCTGAGATAAATTTATTTTACAAAAGGAAGAGAAGAAAGAAGACTTTGTGAGTATTTTTATTACGTCACTTGGTGGGGAAATTCTTTAGTTATACAATATTGATTAAATCAAGTTTAGAGCTTCTTGAATGATCTGTAAAATCAGGGGCGCCTGGGTGGCTCAGATGGTTAGGCGTCTGCCTTCGGCTCGGGTCATGATCCCGGGGTCCTGGGATTGAGTCCCGCATCGGGCTCCCCGCTCAGCGGGAAGCCTGCTTCTCCCTCTGCCTCTCCCTCTCTCTCTGTCTCTCATGAATAAAAAAATAATCTTAAAAAAATCAGTTCTAGAATAAAACTTAAGCGCTATAGCTGGTAGTCATATGGCTCTTCAAGAATAAAGACTATCATGGGTTGCCTGGGTGGATAAGGCAGTTAAACATCTGACTTTGGCTTGGGTCCTGATCCCGGGGTCCTAGGATCAAGCCCCTCGACAAGCCCCATGTCAGGCTCCCTATGAAGCCTGCTTCTCCCTCTCCCTCTGCCCCACATTCCCTGCTCATGCTCTCTCTCTCTCTCTCAAATAAATAAAATCTTAAAAAAAAAAAAAAGACTATCACCTATTTCCCCACTATTAATAATAATGACCACATGTATTGGTATTTTAGGCAGTTAAGATTGAATGCTTATCTTTCTAAAATAAAAGGTGAATTGCAACAAGGCGAATTACAATCAAGTAAGGGATCAATAAACAGGAGTATCTAGTATAAAACTTCCGATTACTAAGAACTATCAAGAATAATGGAAGAAGGGGTGCCTGGGTGGCTCAGTCGGTTAAGCGTCTGCCTTCGGCTCAGGTCATGATCTTGGGGAGCTGGGATCGAGCCCTGCATCGGGGTCTCTGCTTGGCAGGGAACCTGCTTCTCCCTCTGCCTGCCACTCCCTCTGACTGTGCTTGTTCTCTCTCTCTCCCTGACAAATAAATAAAACCTTAAAAAAAAAATAATGGAAGAAGCACAGTCTTAAGTAAATAAAATGTTTTGTAGCTCAATTAACTTTAAGTTCATAAGGCACGGGGGCAAGATATACTTTCATTTACTGAGAAAATGAGATGAAAGGCCTATCAAACCACCTGCCACAAATACTTGCAGGATCTGGGCTGGCTGCTAGAAGTCCAGCAATAGCTTCAGCTGTCTCTGAATTTCTCAGACATCGATGTCAAAACACTGGCATAAATGTCTGGAAACTGAATTCAGCAGATGGATTAAGTCTATAGCATTTTTCTTGCCCTTGCTTCAATATTAGAAAAATACACTTCTAAAAAACGAGTTTTCGAACAAATACGTATTTGTTGATTTTTTTTTTTTTTGGATTGTTGTTAAATTGATTCTAGGGTAGCCAGATTATAGAAGAGATGGTACAAAATTTGTGGAACTAGTTATATATGTTATTTGCATATGGCATATAGAAATAGGAAGTGAGTAAATTCTTAGACACCTGGGGTGGCTACTCACAGTGTAGTGAACACTAGCATAGATTGCAGACTTGAAGACTTCTAAAAATCCCTTCTACCTTTTAAATACTATGATTATCAGATAAAAGGAAACAGATTCAAGTAACAGACAGTTACATATAGAGATCCTAAGAGTTTGAAAACTTTAGTTGGGACAAGAATAGTATTGAAATGATTAATAAAGACCAAAAAGGCCTCAATGTATCTAACCAACAATCAGAATTTGTGATTTAGCTAGTTTTTACACACTATGAAAATTATCTTGTAGATAGACAAAAGCAGGCAAAATGCATAAGCTTGCTTGGTTAGGCTCATCCACCTAATAACAAGACTGAGAACAAAGGAAGGAAAAGGAAAGGAAACTAGCTTTTACTGAGGTTCTATTCTAGGTAGATACTTAACCTATATTGTTTCATTTCATCCTCACAATAGTCTTGTTCAGTAGATATTACCATTCCATTATATAGCCAAGAAAACCAAGACTCAGAGACTAAGTATGCCTAAGGTTACTACTGGTAAATAATAAGGCATTCAAGGGTCCTGACCTGAACATAATTTTAAGCTTTTGGTATTTCTTTTTTTTTTTTTTTTTAAAGATTTTATTCATTTATTTGAGAGAGAGAATGAGAGATAGAGAGCACGAGAGGGAAGAGGGTCAGAGGGAGAAGCAGACTCCTTGCTGAGCAGGGAGCCCAATGTGGGACTCGATCCAGGGACTCCAGGATCATGACCTGAGCCGAAGGCAGTCGCTTAACCAACTGAGCCACCCAGGCGCCCTAAGCTTTTGGTATTTCTATAACCTAGCTCTTCCATTACAAAAAGTCAGGTGTGTAATTTGATTCTTCCTTCTCCTGAGGACAGCAAAGCAATTAATAATATTAATGATTACTATGGAGGAATGCTACTATAAAAATATAAGTACATAATTTGTATACATTGAAAAATACTCGAAGAAGAAAGGGTCTGCAGAAAGAAAACCAGAACAACTCTGGAGACATAAATGTATGAATGCATACAAGTGATCTTCCCCACGCAGTTTAGATTTCTATAGACTTTAGGGAGCACTTCTCTCAAACCCTAATTCCACACATAGAGAAACTGAAGCATAATGGTTACGAATAAAGCCCCAGCTCTATGCTTCTAACTGTGTGCTCTTGGTTAAGCTAGTTAACATCTCTTGGTCTTAGGTCTGGAGGGGTAATAAAAAGGAGATAAAAATAGTACCTAACTCACAGGGTGTTATAATAATTACATAAGAAAATATACATTAAGGGGCACCTGGGTGATTCAGTCGGTTGAGTGTCCGGCTCTTGATTTGGCTTAGGTCATGATCTCAGGATCCTGGGACTGAGCCCCACATTGGGCTCCATGCTCAGTGGGGAGTCTGCTTGGTATTCTCTCTCTCTCTCCCTCTGCCCCTCCCCTGGCTTGCATTCTCTCCCTCTCAAATAAATAAATAAATCTTAAAAAAAATACATTAAAATGTTAACATAGTTATCCGGCACACAATAAGTAATAAATAAATGGCAGCCAATATTATTACTATTTCCCAGCACTTGAAGGGAATAAGTAATCTTCTGAGAACCTACCTATTCACTGTTCTTAATACTCTTCCATAGTGCCTAGGGAATACATGTAAAACCTACATAACAATCAGACCAACAGCTAGAATAAGAATGATCAAGGACCACATTCTTACCATTGGTAGGCTTCTGTTAGTCCTGATCTGTAAGAGGAAAATAACAAAATTCTTTCAGAGAATGGCCATAAGATAATGATACTAACCACCAAACATTTACTCCGGGTTGTGTGCAAGGGGCTCTTAATAAAGAAGTACACACAAAAACCTATGTTCTCAAAGAACATGCAATACAGTTGAGAAGCTGACTCTTTAATATGGTAAGAAAGGTAAGTTAACCAATAGTCCTAGGTATTATCAAGTAAGTGGTATAGATGACAAATGCTATAGAAAGAAAGTATAGTCCAGTGCCCAAAAGAAGGGGTTCATTTCAGATGAGCTTATTTCCTATGACATAAGAAAAGCACTATTACTTAAGGTTGCTAGGAGGCACACACAAGGGAGATAAAGACACACATTTCATTCTATAACATTAAAATAATATAGACTCTGCCCTCAGAATATGGTTGCAAACTGTTTTTTTTGCCAATGTGAAAAATGTTAATAAAATTTTAAGCTCTTAGTACTCATTAAAATTAATTTCATCTCTTCAGTGCCTGGCTGGCTCAGTTGGTGGAGCGTGCAACTCTTGATCTCGGGGTTGTAAGTTTCAGCCCCACGTTAGGTGTACAGGTTACTTAAAAATAAAATCTTAAAAGAAATTAATTTCAGCCCTTTAAAAAAGTGTTTGGGATCAATGCATCTGAAATGATAAGGACTATGAAAAAAATCAGATATACAGAAAACATAAGCAGAGGTCACAGATAGATTCCTGAGACATATAACCATTTCATTAGGAAAGATAAATTTGGATATTATCAGATATTAGGTAAACATGTAATGTTATGAGGAAAGGTTTCCTGAAGTAAGGAAGCAAGAAAAGAAAACAGACCAATTAATCTTTCAACAGATGAGGCTTCTTGCCATGTGTGATTTTTATTGTGCTTTAAAAAAACCCAGAGAATCTTCAAATTCTTTCCATCTAAGGAGTTTGACCTTTACTTCAATTCCATGATTTTCCCAGGACTTTCTAACATTATAGCAATAGTAAGGAGTTAGTAGTCTAATAAAAAAGAGGCCTCTCAGAACATATTTATTTCCTTTCTTCTGGACCCTAACCAAATAGAGCAGTTCAAATGATTGGGATTACAAAACCACGTTACCCAACAAATTTATAGGTTGGGATCTTGGAAAAGGATCAACTTTTTAAGCAATTCTCCATTAGGAAAAGAAGGCCTTATAAATGGCTAATTTAACAGGATATTTTCAAACTATTATGGCTTTTCCAGGTTACTATGAAACCCAGTATTATCTGGAGAGTAGGAGAGCGGGACTAAGCCTTCAACATGGGAAAAACCTTTTTTTTTTTTTTTTTTTAAGTCTGGCACAGCAAAAGTAGAAACCATGGAAAACAGAGGTTTATAACCTTGGTTAGTTTAGGAAGTCATTGTGGTTTGTTGGCAGACCACGCATACATAGGAGTGGTAGTTCAATTAGAAACATGATTCCCCACTTCTCATCTCCAAAACATTTTCTGTGTGTTTATGGATTCATTTCCTAGGTCTCAAACAGCAAGTTAAAATGAATTATTCAAATAGCTTAATCAAGACCCTTACATAGCAGAAAACCTGAGGAAAGGAAAACTATTCTAAACTTTAGTTTAGTGGATATTTTTAGTATCTTTCTTTCTTCATCTTTATCCTTTCCCTGGTTCAGAGTCTGTTTTTTCTTTATGTCCTTATAGGAGTCTTTGTTTATGTCCCTAATCATAATTTAGAGTAAATAAAAAAGAACACAGAGAAGAGAGAAAATGAAGGACAAGCTTTAAGGTTGTTTTCTGTCATTAACTCTTTAAAAAAGCAATTTTCATAGGAAGAGATACATACCAAATAGTGGGTACATATCACTGCAGCCTTATTTCACATAACACTTCCAATCTTTAAGGAAGGGAAGCTCAGAAAGGTCACATAACAACTTGCTCAAGGCCACAGAGAATCTGAGATCCAGGTCAGTCAGGCGCTGAGGCCCATCTGCTCTTCTCTGTTAATTTGCCAAGACTGCCTTCGAGCACCTCATCCCCAATTTCTGAATTTTGTTTCTTTTAGGTCTGATCAATACCTGGCCAGTCGCGGCTCCAAGAAATGGTACCGTTCCTCTCTGAGGCTTCCTCCAAAGAGCTCTCCAACTCCAGGAACCAGAAGATCAACAGCAGCAACCTAAAAAGGAAAAAAGTTGTAAACAATTTCACATTTTCAGGGGATTCCAACAATTGCCAGCTTCTCAAGCAGGTGGAACTTTAAACATTTTGACAAGTGGCTGTTAAACTGCTTAGCAGAATCTTATTTATGTTATCTGTTTATGCTGCCTGTTTCAAAATCAAATTTTTAATATCTTTAGAATACATGATACACAAATTGCAGATGGACAGTTTCCTCTCCTCTCTTATACCACGTATGTAGTGTACTTAATAGAAATGTGTTTTCTTCACAAATGTGGTATGTTAATAGTAAAAAATGGGGCAAGTGTTAAAAATTATGAGATATTAAAAGTCATCCATCACCATGCAGTAGCAATTGAATTTTGGCATATTTTCTTTCTGGTTTTTCTCTTCCACCTTTAAGGAGTATAATAGATCAAATTACACATAAACATTTACCATTTTAATGTTTTACTTAATATTGTAATTTTTTTTCCTATGTCAGTTGAAATACTGTGCACACAGTGTTTTTTTTTTTTTAAAGTAGTCTCTCCACCCAACATGGGACTTGAACTCACAACCCTGAGATCAAGAGTCACACACTCCACTGACTGAGCTAGCCAGGTGCCCCCATACTTAATGGTTTAATAGCTGCACAGTTTATTGTTTAGAAGCAGACATTTTTATCTGTTTTTCTTTTGTTGAACATTTTGGTGTATGTCTTTTGTTTCTCTTAAATAATTTGGCAATGAAGATTTTTCTTTATAGTATTTTGGTAGGACATGGAAAATATGTCCTGATTACTGGGGCAACTGGGTGGCTCAGTCAGCTGAGTGTCCGACTCTCAATCTCTGCTCATGTCTTGATCTCAGGATCGTGGGTTCAAGCCTCACATGTGGGCTCCACGTTGGGCATGGAACCTATCTTAAAAAATAATGAAAATGTTCTGATTATGAATCAAAGAAGTAAAAACTGAAACAATGAGATAGTATATTGGGCTATCAAAATGTGAAGGTAAGAAAACAACATAAACAACGTGGATTAGAAGACACATGAGCCAGTACTCTCCCACGTCTGATAGAACCTTTCTGGTCAGCATCTTGGGAAAAGATCATCAAAACCCTTAAAAATGCCATATGCTTTGACCCAGCAATGGCAGTTCTAGGAACTAGTCCTAACTAATCTGAGATGAAAACAAAAACACGCACAGGGTGTTTATTGCAGCATTATTTATAATAACAAAAATTCAAGTACACGTCAATAGGAGCCGACTGTTAGGTACATCTTAGACATGGAAAAAACAAAGACTGGCATCTACATGATGAGATGTTAATTATGCTGTCACTGTGATTTCTTCTGTTCTCTGCTATTTTCTTATTCTGTACAATGAAGACGTGTTATACTTTTGTAATAAGAAAGCAACAAAAAACTTTATGGTGGAAAATGGTAGCTTGATATTTTCATTTGTATTCCAATTACTAGTAATATTTAATTTTGAGAATGTTTGTTCGCTGACTGTATTATTCTGTGACTTGGTGATTCTTTTTTGTGGGGCATGTAGTAAGCATTATTAAAGAGACACAAAACTGGGGTGCCTGGGTGGCTCAGTCGGTTGAGCGTCTGACTTGGTTCCACCAGGTCATGATCTTGGGGTCATGAGATAAAGCCCCACCGGGCTCTGCGCTCAGGGCACAGAGTCTGCTTGGGATTCTTTCCTCCCTCCCTGCCCCCCACTTCCCCCCGCTTGCGCTCTCTCTCTCTTCTCTGTTTCTCTCAAATAAATACAAGCTTTAAAAAAAATTTAAAAAGGCACAAAAGTAAGAAATGCAACAAATGAAAAATTAGTAATGCATAAAACACATTTTAATCTTCAACTTAAAAAAAAACTTTTTTTAAGTAAGCTCTACATCCAACCTGGGGCTTGAACTCATGACCCCAAGATCAAGAGTTGCACATTCTGGGGTGCCTGGGTAGTGCAGCTGGTTAAGCAACCAACTCCAGATTTTGGCTCAGGTCATGATCTCATGGGTTGTGAGATCAAGCCCTGCCTCCAGCTCTGCAATGGGTGGAAGCCTGCTTGAGATTCTCTCCTTCTGCCCCTCCCCTCAATCGTGGGCATGCCTGAGTAGGTGCATGCTCTCTCTCTCTCAAATAAATAAATAAATCTTAAAAAACAAAAAGAAAAACCAATTGCATATTCTACTGACTGAGCCAGGCAGGTGCCCCTCACATTTTAATCCTTAAAAGTCACATTATATTATAAACTCTTTTCTTAAACTCTGCCTCACTTTACTATTAAGCCATGATCTGTTTTGATTTCAGAACTTTTGACTGAGATACCTTTTATAAGTAATTGAGAATAAAGAATGTAATAATACACAAATGTTCCCCAAATACTGTATGCCTGATCTTCATTATTATCATTAAAAGAGAGAACATCAGGTATGATTTGGAGTGAATGAGAGTGAGAAAACAGAAATTTACTAATGGCTTCTACTTTTATTAAATTTCCTACCACTTAATCAGCTGGTGAGAAGTAAACATACAGATTTTGTCAGACTGCCACTGCTCGTTGACAACATCTTAGTAATTATTCTGTGAACTTGGGGGAACTACAACAACCAAGCAGGTAATTCAGAATGTGGTTTTGATGACTCAGATGTGAGGACAGGTAATGAAACACACAACTTTGAAAAGGTGTACAAGACAGCCTTGAGAGGAAATTCTCACAGGCCATACAATTAATAGAGTTGGACTCCAACCAGGACCCTGCTCCTATTCTCAGAGAAAGGAGAAGTTTCAAGGGAGTTTTTATGGCCACTGAAGGACTGGCATCTTTATTTCTTAGTATCTTGCTTTTAGACATGGCTAACATATACTAGAAGTTGAGAGAGACCTGATCGAAAATTTGTTCTGAACCTTAATCCAGAGTTTTAAATTTAGAATTACAGGCAATCAGGATTAGAAAATAATAGACACCAAGTAGCTCTCTGGCCTTTGCTTGAAAATATTTAAAGACTGAGAACTACTACCCCCAAAATATAGCATTCCATCTTTGTGTAGCTCTTTTAAGAAGGGACAAGTATATCCAAAATCTATCATTTCCAAGGTTTTGAAGTTCAGGCCTCAACCTGCCTGCCCGCCAGTGGGGGGGTGACGACTTAAAGTAATACCTGATTGAGAACCATTGCTTTAGAACAATGAGTTGGCTTTTTAAAACTTATGCTATATGTCCATCCTGGCTTGAAGCTGAATAAAAAAAAAAAACCCACTTTATGAGGTATTGCTGATCTAGCAGATGGAAGTCCATGCTCTTTTTTTCTACCTGCTATGTACTAAAAACACTTGTCCAAGAGTAATGTATGTAGGTCACATTTGCTCACAAATCTTTGGCCAATACAAGTCACTAAACTCACGTTGATGGGGCAGGGAATTATAATATCCTGAGTAGTGGTAACTACTGATATAGAGTAAAACAGTTTACCAGGTTGCCTCCCCTCTCCCCCCACTGACATGGACTCCCACTTCCACTCTCCCAACCAAATCCTCATTGTTAATTAGAATTAAGGTCAGAATAGTTCTATTTTCTTCCTCTGTACTCTGGGACAGCTGGTTATCAAGAAAAGGAAAAGAACTTACAAAATAGTCTATTTTAGTTGAATGAAAATTTTAGAGAACACCCAGATAAAGTTCCATATCACTCTTAATTTTGTGACACGCAGAAGGAATACATACAGCATCTATATCCTTTCTTTGTCCAGATGGTCTGAAAATTCACACTTTCAGGTGGGTGAATTTCGTTTATGTTTTCTTGACAAAGAGTAAAGTCGCTTCTCCTTTTAAGAGAAACGTATCTTTTAAGTAAGGCATTCCTTCACAATGCCTCATAAATGCTCCAAGACCAAAGGTACTGTTTCTTTTTTATCAAGGACAGATTTATCTCTTTGTGAAGAAAGGCCCACAAAGGCTTTGTTTTTTCTTCTTCCTCCATATAATCTTCTTCTCTTTTTCTTTAGGTTTAGTTTCCTTTCAACTCTATCAGATTATACTTCCTGTTTTCCTTTTACAGTGCTATCCTCCAATCTCTCTAGACATTCTGCACACTTTCTGAGAAGCTATAATACAACAAAGTATTCCTCAACTATAAAGACATTTACATTTGGTATACATAGAGCTGCACTTCCTTCAATATGATATAAAAAATACCACATTCCCTCAAGATTACTAACACAACCCCTTCAAATTTCCGTACCTTTTAGTTACAGTTGAGATTTCCAAGAGGATTCTTCTGTGTTGTGTCTCCCTCTGGTAACTACTGAGCTAATTACTACAGAAACTACCACTCTTTCCAGGGCTCTAGTGGAGGTAAAGGGTACATACAGATATGATATAAACCATGACATGGATGGAATCACTGAAATCTCTTAAGAACTAATGAGAAAAACTTGGCTGTGTGTTTGCCAAGTGATGGGTGGTGAGGGCTTAGAGTGCAAACAGGCTGGAAACAGGCAAGTTGCCTAGAACATTAGCTGGGGATTACAATTTGCCCATATGGGCTGGCAGCTCTGCGCTTCATGGGAGTCTGAGGGAGCTGGGGCTGAGTAATCTTGCCCTTCATTAGGGAAAATGAGAATTCACAGGCTGCATAATAAAATGTCCTCTTAATTCACAAATTTGACCAAATTTAAGCACTTTTGTAGCTACAATCTCCTCTGCATTCTTATACATCTTTGGAAGACTTGAAAGAAGTGGAAAAATTTTAGTTCTGCCGTCCTTTCGCTCTCCTACACAGATAACAATGAAGGCTACAAGTCACTATACTACACTCTTTGCTAACTTCCTTCATCTTAAACAAAACTTATTCCACTTTGGGCACATCTTCCTCCACTGTGTGTGTGTTTTTATCTTGTGTAAGTCACACAGCTGCAGCGCATGTTGTCTAGAAATAGTTTATGTTGGTATTCAAGCTGAACAAGCCCTGGTCTCTATTTATGACACTCCCTTTTGACTCTTTACTCT